CCACTATCACTACCACTACTACTAGTACTACTAGTACTAGTACTACGACTACTACTACTACTACTACTACTACTATTACTACTACTACTACTACTACTACTACTACTACTACTACTCTACTACTACTATTACTACTACTACTACTACTACTACTACGACGGTTCCTACTGCCACAATAGCACTACTACTTCTGCTGCTGCTACTCCTACTACTACTACTACTACTACTACTACTAGTATTACTACCACCACTACGACGACCACGACCACTACCACTACCACTACTTCTACTACTACTGCTACCTCCGCTACGACGACGACGACGACGACGACGACGACTACTACTACTACTACTACTACTACTCCTGATGCTGTTGCTACTCCACTACGACTACTCCTGCTGCTGCAGCTGCTGCTGCTGCTGCTACTGCTACACTACTGCTACTGCTACTTCGACGACGGCGGCTACTACTACCATTGCGACTGCGACCACGGCTACGACCTCGACTGCGACTACGAAGACGATGACGAATTGTCGACGACGGTCGCGACTAGGAAGACTAGTGCGGCGAAGTCAACAATCACGCATCACGCATACCATTATATGCGTTATTCTCTTGGTCCAAGTCATGATGCATCTGATCATGGCCATGGTGGTGATAATGTTGATGATGTTGATGATTGTGATGCACTCGCTGCTTTGTGGAGGTGCCACGTGCAGAAGTCCCTAGACATTTGAACTGGGCTCTGAGTTCTTGGGCCCACTCTGCGGCTTGACCTGGATACGCTGCGTTTAGATCCCCGGAGGGCCATGGGGTCTCTTCTGTTGGGTTGGGGATTCGGGTTCGAATTTGCGGTTTACGGCTCCGACCCTTGCAGAGGATGTTGTAGCTATTGTAGCTGTTGAACGTAATTGGATTGGGCTGTGGATGTTTGGTTTGCTTTTCTGGGGTCGAGCGAGGGAGCTCAAGATCGAACAAAGCCCGTGAGCTTGCAAGTCCAGTTTCATTGTTTATTCGTCGAAATGCAGGAAGACATAGAAAGACATGAGGCTCACGCAGCAGCCGTTCAAGACTCTAGGCTCCGGGTGTGTAGTCTCCTGGCTTTACCGAGGAATTGTTTTTCAGCTTCAGCACGGCGCAGGACAACACACGACCCTGTCAGAGGAACTTAGGCTGTAGGCTGCCTCACGTCGCAGCAATCAGCACCTGAGCTGTTTCGGATGATGCATGTTGGACAGTGCACCATGAAGGTCGCCGCTGCATGCATGAGTCATGAGTCTGTTGCTATTAGAATCCCGTCGTTGGGGCGTCGTCATTGAGGCTGTAGCCAAGAAAGTTTTGCAATGCAGCGCCGGATCATGACGTATGGTGAGATGCTACACTCGTCGAAGCATTCGGAACCCCCTCGTTACATCTTGCTCTGGAACCTGTCAGGACGCAATTGAGCAAGCCTGTCGCTCTTTCGTGGCCAATCTCAAGAGCTCAGAGTCCTGGGCTGCTTTGGTCCCCGACGTGTGCAGATTCGGATCCGTAAGGGACGCCGCAGCAAAGAATGAATTGAAGAGGGGCCCGCAACGGAAGTGCCTAGTTAAACCGGTGCACTGACATACGTTTTGTGCTTCCGGGCCTTTGAGCCAAGCACCTTGATGCGAAGGCTGTAGACCTGAAAGCCACAAGACACATGAATGGAGGCTAGTAGCCGGCTCGTAGACATGATGCTTGTATCGAGGCCGGTAATAACACAGCGTCGCTAGCTTGCAGTTACATCTACAACGATTGCGCTATATCCTTGTGCAGCGTGGCCCATGACACATACATGGACCATGAGACAATCCGGTTCCAATTCACATCACAGGATTTGCTTCCAGTAGCTAAGCTGCAGCATGCTGCAGCATGTTCAAATCCTTCATGGATCCATGCAATCACTTCGGCAGAGCTGCTTCAATACCTAGGATCTTCAGGAGCAGCAGCTTCGAGCGGAGCAGCTTGTGCAGCAGAAGGCCAGGTTTGCTATTTCCACTCTCCCTCACAGTCTATTTGTTGTCGCTCTCTCCGGGCACCTTTTGGCTGGTTGCAGTGATGTCATATTATTTGCGAGAGTACCGGGTGGATGAATTACTTCAGGGCATCATCGGACTATAGGCAGGGACGCCAGACGAGTGGACGAGTGTTGGATTAGGCGTGCAGGTGAGCGCCCTATTCGATCGGATTTCGCTATATAGCCTTGTATACACCCTGCTGTTCTTCGCAGCATGCATGTTAATGCTCGGATCCTACCCCATGCCTCAACGGCATGCACTTCTTCGCGGTCCATAAGCGTAGAAACACCCAAGCATTCTTGGCTGTTTAGGAGTCAACTCGTAGATCGCCGAACCGCCGCAACGCTGAATTCGGAGGCCTACGGTCCCTTTCGTGACTTTGCCCTGAGCGAGACACGTCGACACTGTGAGCGTCTGGGCGCTCCCAAGAGGCGCTCCTTGCATGTTTCTGTATCTTGAACGACGCTTCTATCGCTGGCGTGCGATGTTGGGGAAAGAGGCAGCTGTGGGTCTTATACGAGGGATAATGGGTCGACCCAGATTTCGAAAAAGTGCATGGCCCAGGCCAGGTGCTTCGTGCTTTGTGTCGGTCGGCAAAGTGCGATGTTGGCGGTTGAACCTTCTGCATGAAGGCGGAGTTTTTGTCCCTCGCAAGGGTAAAGCCACTCGCTCAAGTAGGTACCTGACTCGCATCTTCCAACGCA